CACTTCCTGCTGTAACTGATTTTTATATTTCTAAGGAAAGGCATCAAACATCATCTTTAAAAAAACAACTCTGGGCTCCACCAGACCTTCTTGGACTGTATAAATGGCTGATGACTTGATTTAGAACATACCCATTTGTCAGAGAGAGAGAGAAAGGTGGCAGAGAGAGCATCTTGTAGAGCTAGAAATATTGCATTCTGGTAAATGGGGGTGTTGTGGCTGCCAGTATCCACTATCACAACCATTTTGCAAGAGTGCCCAGAAATTTCCAAACTGCCCACCAGCCATCTTGCCCAGTAATGTCTGATGCTGGTCTTTAAGTTATAGTTTAAGATGTCAAGATGACAAATGATGGACAGTCACTTTAGGTGGTTCACAGAATAAAGGATTATCTTTATTAGCATTAATCTTATTGCTTTGGGAAAAAACATTTGTCCTGCCTTCTTTGATATTTTGGCTCTCTAAAGCTAACAACCCTGTTTCAATAAAAGTTACAAGCATTTTACAACAAATGGGTTCTCATTATTTTGAGGCAAAGCAATCATATTTGATTTGATGACAAAGCAAAAACATACAAAAGTATACAAACAAGAAAAGCAATTTACTAATTAGTATGGAAATTCACATTAAGACCTCTGTATATTGTATCTGTCACCCTTCCTTCACAGTTTATGATTGTATAAAATAAAACTCCAGGGTCCTTTTAGGAGAAAAGCAGTTTTTTATTACTGTCGTCCAGACAAAATGTACAGTAATTGCATAAAGATAGACTGCGTAACACCATACAGGTAATAATGACTGACGCTTTGGGAAACTATAGACCTTGCCTGTAGTGAAAGCTTTTGCCATTAACATATACAGAATCATTTGCAGGAATCTCCCAAGTTGGGAATGAAAGATCACCCCCTCGCTATTTGAGAAATCACCTAGCTATATATATAGTAACAGTCGTAGATATATTGAGGTATTTAGAGATCAGAGGATTCCCAAAGTAGACTTCTACAGAAAAAGTGTAGATGCGCAGAACCAGGGTTGATCCTTGTCTTCCTATTCTGTTCTCTTCACTGAATACCATTAAAGTGGAAGAATCGTTCAAGAAATGCTGAACCATCAACACTACCTATAGATGCTGACGCAGGTAGTACTTTCCTCCTGTAGGATCATTTTATTTAGTTCAATGAATCCTTTCTGGACTATGATTACATTTGTGGAGCTTCTTCCTCTTAAGCAACTTGAAAAACCTAGAAGCTTAAAAGCTCTGGGTCCACATCACAATGTGTACAGGGAGCCAGGGAACAACAGATGGACAGAGCTGCCCAAGTCTGTAAGTAACTTAAAGTGCAAAATGAAATTATCCAAAGGGATTAGAAACAATTTTAGAAATGTCTTTTCTTTCACACGCTAGGCTGGTATACACTGTTTTGGGCTACAATCATATTTCATGTCCCTGAGAGTAAGCCTCACTGAAATTAATTGATGTTATATATTAGTAGGATTGTACTGTTGGTGTTAATCTGTCATTGATACATTTAAAATCTGCAATTAAATGGTTTTTTTCCTGTCATAAAAAGACTTTGAGAAACACCATGCCAGTAATGATCAAAGCCATTTTCAAATACACTGCTTATCATAAATGCTGCCACTGTTTTCATTTGCTTCTACAGATTATGACATCATAAAGTGACTTGAATGGTAGCAGAATGAAATGAAATGACAGATGATGTGGTGGGAAAAAAATCATCCATGATCCTATGAACCACAGCAATGGAGATCAGAAACAAAGTTCTTTATGATACTTTAGTAAGAAAACCCAGCCAATCAGACCAAGACCCAGAATACAGATTTACAAAGGATTATAAAAGAAAAAAATATGTTATCATTCATGAATAACTGATTAGATTCACATAGACAAGAAAAGCCCCTAACTCTACGTCAGCAGTGAAGTTATCCAAACCTTGAAGCCTGGGCTGCATTCTTGCTTTCACCCCTCATCTACATTCCTTCAATATTACAAGTATTACAAAATGACCCCTTTTTACACTATCCTGTGCCTGACATTTTTACACATTCTAGCTTCTGCTCCCTTCCACAGGATCCCACGAAATTAAACTACAGCACCAAAGAGTCCCTTGTTTTTAGCTTCCTTGGCTTTTAGCTTATTGTTTTTACATAGTTACATTTCTATTGGTAGCCCAGAAATATGATTTTAAACGGAAAAATCAATTCTTAACTAAGTAAACTAAGTATCCACCTTTGCAGATATGTTTTCAGCTTTCAAACACCACAGTGACAACAGATTTATAGACAAATTCATCCTATCCAGCTTGGGAAAAATATTTTAAGAAAAGTCAAGAGCATGTAATATCAAGAAAATATTAAAATAAACATCACACAGGAACAAATGACATCAGAATTTTTTTCTCATTGTAATATATTAAGATCTAGATTTATACTTGCTAATTTTATTCCCCCCCCCTTTTTTTTTGGTTAAAGCACCAACCCACCTGACTCTTAGTTCTGAGAAAGTTTCATTTAGACATGAAGTTTGTTGATTCAATTTTTTAAAATGTTTATGATAACCTTTGTTTCATCCTTTTAAAATTATTTAATTGATGTCAGACTACCCAGGAATTTTTCCAAATAGTAGTACATTAATCTCTTGTAGCTAACATGTCACTCTCTTCGGTGTAAGGTTGGTTTCATATTTATACACAAAAATTTGCTTCATTAAAACACCAAATTTGTTCAACAAGACCAAATCAACCAAATATGGCATGATCCATACCTAAAATGGAAGCCTTAGATACTTTCAAATGATTCCTAGCTGTACTAATCACAAGACACTGCCTTTGATTATTCTACCCTTTTTTACATAAGAAAAAGCTACGTGCTGGGAATATTCACTAGGCTTAGAAGTCCTGAATTTGAAGCAGAGCGATTACACCCTAAAAGGTACATCTAGTAGTTCTTTGCAAGACCTTCAAGTTTTACAGAAGTAAAAAAATAAAAAAAAGTTTTTAAAAAAGCAGGGGGGACTTAAAGTTCCCTCCTTTCTCCCCAAAGGGTTTAATGAGCACTGAGCATGCTCCTGTGAATTGAACTACTTCTTGGGAACCCTGTCTATAAAACTGGGCTGCTATGCAGAAGTAGGGCTAGGATCAGGAAGTGCTGCTGATTCTACTATTTGTGATGAAGGAGCCTCTTACATTTCAGAACTTCAGTGCTTTCTTGAACCTGTAGAGAAAAAGAGCCCTATTCAACCTCTAAGTACAAAAATAAGTGTGGCAGTTTCAGCACAGCAATGCATTTCCACAAATGTACAGTGTGAGTGAATGCAGAAAATTTGCAGAATGGCAAACAGAAGGCATCTGCTGATTCCAGGTAGGATTCTCTGTTGTAGCTGGTCCTTCTTATTGAGGCATTTCTAAATTTTAAATATTAGCCTGTCTCTAATATGTGCAGTTTCTGGAGGTCTAAAAATGGATTCTTTCTATTTTTTTAAAAGCTTGAAACTATCATAAAGGGTTGACATAATTATTGACCATAAAATAATTTTAAAAAAGATCTCAGCAATCTGGTCCAAAGGCAAATGAAAATAATCATCTTGCTGAAGCTAAGGAAGTTTGCACACCAGGATACAGTTGTAAGAAAAATAAAAAAGCATGAAGTTCAAGGTATTATTTCCAGCTTAGGCAGATGCATACAGTAGATGTTGCTATGACACAAAGAGTAATTGCAACAAAGTTCAAAAATTTGCTGTTTGACTAATTCAAAACACAAATCCCTACCTCTGGTTCCATTGGTTGTAGGATGCAGATGCAAATGCCTGTATTGGGAACTGGTGTGGTTAACTGTTAGCAATTGGCACTGGGTGCAAGAAATTCAAGCTTGCACCTTTGCTCCTTCCCAAAGCAGCATACTGAATGGCAAATAGCAACATCTTCTTATGGTGCAATTATGGCCCATCAGAAAGTGAAGCAAGATTGATGGATTTATTTATTAATCTGGTAAATTTATATAGCCACCCATCTCATCTATGTTACTATGAGCAGATTCCAGGGTGTGTGTCTGTTCTGTGGCTTCTCTGTGCCTGTGAAATTCCCAAGCACAGGAAATACATATGATCCAATTTAAGAGTTCATATTGGAAGATACTTTATCAAAACAAGTGTTTTGTTTGCTTAATTGGAATTTTTTTAAAGGAGGAGGGCAGTGTGATTATCAGTTCTTCTAAGAAACCTTTATATTTCTTACTGTAAGAATGGGCTCTCTAAAAGACTCTAACCCATTCATTATTTTTTCCTCATAAATAAATAAGGAAGCAAGTGACATCTCCCCTGTTCCTGCCTGAGCATTGCTCACCCCTTTATAGCCCCTTACTCTATTTTCTTTGCATCTATGCCATTTACTCCACCCTACTCTAAGAATGATCTTACTAGCAATGTACCACACAAGGGTGGTAGATTCCTTTTGGTAGCAGTAAATTACTTGGTTGGAATTTATTTAATGTAGCAAGGAACCTATAATTTAAAAAAATATATATATGGTGTATTTATAATTACTTGTAAATAAGGGCACACATAATTAATAGGTATAAATATGACTTCTAATTGCAGATTAACACAAATCTTATCTTGCAGCATTACTCTATTTATTTTTCCAGAAATGTTCCCTATTCCATTTTAATAGTTCTTCTTAGAACAAATATAACCACAAAACAGTTCTGGAGTATCTAATGTTAATTAGTCCTTCCAATGCATCATATACATACTTCCTTAAAAGTTGTTTTTGATATGGATATTTTTCCACTACCCACTGAGTGAATATTAATTGATACATTTTGGTTCAATAGGATTACAGGAAGAAAAGAAACTAAGTTATACATTGTACTTCATAATGGCAGCTGCAGGAGGAGATGCTTAGTATAGTTTTGATTAACATTTTGAAATATTAACGCAGATAATAAATTAGAAAAGGAAAATAACATGTTGAGATACTCACCTTTTTCTAACAGTTGCTTCTCGTGATACTTGGACATGAGAACAAAGGATCCCAAAGAAACAAGCGCAGCCCACTAGCCCTATTTTATTTCTGTGAGAAGTTTCTGGTTTTGGAAAAGGCAGCCAAGAAGGTCACTCTGCTTCCTTCAGATCTCAAACAGCTGACTCCCTTCCTATTTATCATTACACACAGCCTGCCAATTGGAATGAAAATGCATGGAGGAGGGTCTTAAACAGGCTTATACTTCACAAGCAGGGAGGAGACTTTTCAAAGATCTAGGCATTTGAGAAACCACAATTGGCAAAATAACTTGGCCTGTATTGATTCTCCATATAAAAGCATTGATCATGTGGAGCAGTTCTTTCCTAAATCAGAGTTGGCTGGTTCACATACTGTACTGAATTAAGCGAAAACTAAACCAACCACATGGTGGCTTAGTGAAATATATGAACGCAGCCACTGACTCATTTTATGGGACTGTCCAAGTTGGGCCATGTTTCCATAAATTCTAGCAGTGCTAATATGAACTGGGGTGGCCGTGAGCTCGATTTTTCAGAAAATTCTCCTCCTTTGGAAGCATTTTTAATGGATGTCAGCCTAAATTTTATTTAAAGGCAAAAAATAACAAGCAGGAAAAGCCTTGAAGCCACTCATCTGCAATGGACACCCAAGCACCAGACTGATAGCTCATTTGATCACTATCTTCCCTGGTAAAATGTTATTTGTATAAAACCATAGTGAATAATGCTATATTTGCAGCATTAGACATGTATTAATACATATAAAAGTCACACATTATCACACCAAAAAGTTTCCATTTTTTGGTTATGCATTTCCTCTTTTAGGGCAATGGGTTGTTAATGTGAATCAAGGTCACCTAGGTGCTATCTCTGTCTGATGCAGATCCAACAGTACAGATGACAGCTTCTCATTTCAATTTTGCTAACTGCAATTATATTGGTGTAGAAAGAAAAGCTGGTCTCAAATGATTGACATTTTAGTGTGATGCTATACTGTACATGTTCCTTGAGAAATACATCCAAATGAATTCACTGGAGCTTACTCCAGATAAAAGCCTGTCAAGCAGCAGCCTCATTACATTATTTTAATTTTTAGGAAATTAAAACTTATGCTGAACTAAGCCAATTGTCTGCTTAGTCCACTAATTGATTCAATTATGATGGAGAGTAAAATTACTGATTTAGTGGGACTATGCAAAGCATTCAGACAAGGTGCTTGGAACATACTGGAGCATGAACAAAGCATTTCATCTTTCGAAAGGCTTGTGCAACTACGAACAGCCTCCACCGCAAACCACAGTGATGTCACAACGTTGCCATAATCACACAAATGCTGCAATTATATACTTGTTTCAGACTGTCTGATGCAAGTACACACGTCATAGCACTTTTGTGATTACATCACCATGTGCACATTTTGAAGTGGCTGTGCATGCACTCACAAGTGAAACATTTGGAACAGTTTCCAAAAGCAGCTGTGAGACCTGAGGATAAAAGATGCAGCTGCTTTCATGATTTGGAGAAGTGCTTCTTTGGGGCTTGTTTGAATGCTTTGAGGACTCCAAGCTCATCCAGAGGTTTTTCCTTCAGTTTGCCTAAATGGCAACTGGAATTGAACAAACTTTTTAACCTAGAAAGCCCAATGATCAGTATTAGTTCTATTTTATTTGCAAATTACTCTGCAATCTGTAGAATAAATTACTTGTAGGCATGAGTAGAAATTATTGCATATAATTGGAGCTTTCTTCTAGGATTCCCCTACTTTTCTAAAATAAATAGTGAATTAAATAAATTGTCAGAGTTCCCACTGCAAAATGTTGAGCTCCACCCTAATTGCCTGTCCAACTTATTATATTCATGCCCTCTTTCAAACTCATTTCTGCATGTAACCTTTACAGTTGTTTTCATATTACAGAATGTATAAAAACTACAAGTATCATTTCCTTTATCTGTTGCACCAGACAAATTTGAAATACAGATTCACATAGGGACACAGTAGTATCTAATAAATGCCCATGGTTATCTGGTTTGAAACCAGTTTCAGAAAGTTATAATTTTGATACTTCAGGGTATTAAAAAGATAGAATAAATATTCTAACATATTAAAATTGGTTCTTTTTTGCTTATAAGACATAGCAAAAGATCTGTAATCCTCTAGTTAAAATAAATATTTGAAAACCTCATTTGTTTTAATTAAAACATTTAAAAAATATTATTTCATTCAGAGGTTCTTACAAATACATCATTTTATGTACAATATTTATAGTTTAGGGTAGACAATCATATAAAACTATATTCAATAACCAGGTAATTATGCCAAAATGCTTGTGTAAAATGAGAGTCAGAATATTTGTGTAATTTGCTTCTGTCATCTGTTTTTTAATCATCAGCATAATGCTATGCTGTTTGGCTGTGACATGAGGCACAGCTGATTACAACAGATCCCATATATGCTAAAACTCATAGTTACATTCAGAACAAATAAGACCGAGAGACTGCTACCTAATATACACCTAAAGCCAGCATGAGGTGATTTACTTGGCCACTTTTACCATATGGCAAGTAATAAATTAGCAACTCATCCTTATCTGTAAATGATTGAGTGCTCCATGCAAACTTGGGCTGAAATCCTGGGGGATACTGCTGGTTCCCAGTTTTCATATGATTTTAAATCACTACCCTGTCATTTTATTTCTCTGATCCTTTCCAGTATCTAAAGCAAGAAGTAAATGAATCAAACTAGTACTGTTTTCATTACAAGGAGATCCTGAAAGTTAATGTCGGATTTTAATGAGGATGTATGGGGAAAAAAATACAGATCGATTCAGATCCTTTCACATTTGGACATAACTAGGGGGATGTTTAGGAGAGCTGATTACTGTGCATTGCTCCAAAATGATTCTTTTCAATCACCAGATCAAAATTATACCGCAGTGTTTAATTCCGGTTTACGTAAGAACAAAGAAAGAAAGGAAGCCCAGGCATATAGAATAAGATAAGACTGTCCTCAAAATGAAACCCGGAGGCAGTGAGGCAAGCAGAATACCGAAGAATGAAAGCAGAAAGAAAATGGAAGTGATGTAAGCAGCAGAGGTCTGACCCAAAGGGAGGGAGAGGGAGGGAGGGAGAGAAGGAGAGAGGGAATGTGGAGGACAGGTTCAAAATAAGCTAGAGAAGACAGGATGCTAGCATGGAACAACTGGGTCCATGGATGGGAGTGTGGGAAAACAGGAGGGTAAGACCTGGGGCAAGGCAGGGAGAAAAAAAATCAGTCCAAGAGGGAGGGAAGGAAGAAAAGATTCTCATACTGAGGCAAGTAATTCTGCTATGATTTCAAGGCCAAACACATTTCCGAGGAATCCCGTTTGGTAGAAGACAACCCTGCTTCCCCTTGAGATCCAGCTGCCTTGTCATAATCCTATTTCATTCCTTGCCCCGGAGCCAACCGATGCAAATTATATTACACATTCAGACAAGACATGGGAAAACAAAAAAGAATCTGGCATTATAAAACTTGCTAACATGCTAGTGCCACAAGAGCAGTACCATACTATTGCGTATAAACTGAAAAATAACAGGAATGAAACATGACTGTCAATAAACCAAATGCCTAATATAGTGTTAAAGACTGACTTAACTTATATTGCCAACACAAATAGATATAATCAAAGAAAATAGCAACAAGGGGAATACGAAGGAGAGTTACACTTGGTACAAAAATAAAATCCTCTAAGAATAGCACTAGGACAAAATAACTCACTCAACAAAACTGAGAAATACAAAAACTGATGAAAGGGCAAGTGATCAGTTATAACTTATTTTTTCTTCTGAAAGAAAATAAAATCCTGTATCATGGATACTGAAGAAGCTTCTAGCAATAAGCAGCTACAGATCTTACTTAAAGTTCATTTACTATACGAATATGCTAACAAAAACATAAGATAAAGTAAACTTGACCCCTAAGGAATCTTAAAAACTTTGCGTCAGGCAAATTCTACCCCACTCCGCAAAAATATCAAAATGGTGCTATACAGATAGTCCCTGGATGACCCATAGTTAAGAATGGGGCCTATTGTAGCAAAATCTGAGTTAAATACTCAATTATTCGAGTTAAATACACAATGGTTTGAGTTCATTACACAATACTACATATACAGTATTATACAATAACACTGTTCCAGCTTACATACAAATTTGACTTAAGGACAGGCCTTGGGAACAAAACTCGTTCTTAAACTGGGGACTACCTGTATATGAAGATAGTACCTAATACCAGACAATTTTGGCCACTTCCATTTTCTCCATGATAATATTGTTTTGATTTTGCCATTGTAAAAGCTTACACAGAGTGCTATGTATTCTTGACCAAAAAATCACAATGTATGTTTCAAAAAGGTAACCAGTTACAGTGGTGATGGGTACACGGTTGGAAGACCTGAAAAACCAGGTTAGGGATAGACTGTCATGGAGAAAAAATCATCTATGTGGTTGCTAAGAGTCAACACTGACTTGATGGTACACAATTAATTTTAAGGGAAAAAATCTGAAGATCACTGTTTCCACCTTTCTCCAGTGGGAAGCTGGAACACTCTAGATCCAAACCTCAGTCCTGTATGTTACCAAATGTCTCAGAATAATTCAGTCTTAAGGCAAGTCATGATTTTGTAAAAATACTAGAATTCCTAAGTGGAAAAAAAAAATCTGTGTGGTATCGGACCAAATCAGCTTAATTTATGAAATTGTAGGTTTGCAAATTTCAAATAATTTCCTAGACAGCATTCTATGAAATCTGAAAGTTGGCATAGCCCTGCATAAAATTAAAGCAATTTAATAATACTATTACAAGTGTAAATAGTATATTTTAGACTTGGAGATCACTGCTGCAGGCAGCCACAGTCTCCAGAACCGAGTATTTATTTATTCTGTTTGTAAGCCTGCCTAATAATCAACTGATTCAAGCTATATGAAAACGAAGCAAATCAGTTGCCCAGTGCCCAAAATGTAAACATTTTTGTTAAAAAACCTTGTTGGTTATTTTCCCTTTCTTCATTATTAATATTCAATGAGTACTACTTGAGTAGATGCACACACTGCTACCACACCATCAGCTGCTGGGTTTTTTGTATTTCAAGCAAAGCTTCTAAAAGCCAAGGCTATTTCAGGCATTATCAGCAATGTTTTTCTCTAAGAAAATATTCTGACTCTTTGAGAATCCTGAATGAAGTTTATTAGGTTTAGCATTCCTCTGTTACAGAAGATTTTCTGGGCCTGAGAACAAGATCTTTGACAGAGCCAGACAGCTCTTGAAGCTCTTTCCAGATTGCTTCTATGCTTTCTTCTGTGTTCACGGTACTATTGACTGAATCATCATCACCTTGCCCAATCTTCTTGTTTTGACTGATCAGCTGCTTC